TCTTACCACCTGCTTTCCAATTTTTAAACCTCGAATTTTTCTTTTCTATTACTAAACAGTCTTAACACCAATGAATCTGAACTGTTTTGAAAGCTAATGGTTTCTGAACTTTCATTTAGTGTTTCTGAAAAATAAGGTCAGATATGGATTTAACGTTATTTTGTTTTTCTTCAAACACAATTCTTCATAAGACCTTAATTTTGACAAACTTAAGTTGTCAAATATGGTGCTTTTTAGGCATTTAATAACCCTGTGCTGGTAAAGAATGACCCGTCTTAGCCCTGAAAGTGACACAGAGAGGCACATAAAGTGTGGGTCGCCGCTGGTGGGTGGTTGACCAGCTGTCCAACAAGTATGCCATTAGCTGGGGCGGAGGATGTGTCTTTTGGCCACAGACTGTGGTTTCTTCCCCACTTCTGCTTTTCCTCTCCCCACAGCAAAGCCACTCAAATGTGCAGGAAGTAATCTGGAGAGCTGACTGTATATTTAGATGACCCTGTAGATGGAATTCATCCAAGCAGACAATGCAGTGACATGCATGGGCACCTGTGTGGGAGGCTGGAACTAGAATTTACTGGAGGGAAAACTCCAAGCCTTTTAGACATTAAATACATGGGGGACTCAAAAGACAATAGTACATTGAACACCAAAGGGGAAAAGATATGCTTGCTTGTTATCTTCTGCAGTATTTTTTTTTACTTCTCCTAAAAGCTCATTCCTAGGTACACAAACCTTCTTGATATTCAGCCACTGCTCTAAAAGGGTATGTTATACCTCACGTGATCAACCGAGGAAGAAGCAACAACTGGTTTGGTCAAAAAGAGGTATTTAGAAAATGTTCTTTGGCCCTGTAGCCACACTTCTCATGTTTTCAAGCTTTTCGCTCTTGGCACTGCTCTTCCAGGATAAATATGATCATTTCCCTCTTAAGACAAACAAATGCTTGTGCAGGAGAAAGAAATGGAGCCCTCAAGCCTATTTCTATCTCCTTAACTCTGTCCAAGAAAGGCCAGTCAATCAGCAGTTTCGTCTTCACTTGAAAAGTTAGTACTGGAAAGCTCTGCATTTAAGGAGTAAAAGGACTAGGACTGGTTGAGAGGTAGGAAAGATGGTGACCCTAGGACCCATGGTGTGGGACTTTTCCTCCAGCTTGATGTGAGCCTACAGAGGCTATTTTCCAGGTACATTAAAACCAAATGAAGCCTTGACTGCTTGTTTTGAATCACATAAACAAATATGGACGCTGTTTGGTTTTGAATTCCAGCTCTTCCCCTTGCTGGTTGTAGGACCTAACCTGTCTCTGCATCAGTTTTCTCAGCTGTAAAATAGGGATGAAAACAATGTCTACAACACAGAGGTTAGGTGAGGTCCAAATAAGAGAATACACGTCAAGAGCTTAGAAAAGTGCCTGGCAAGTATCAAAAACTCAATAAAAGTTCGCTAGTATCATCAGCAGTGGCAGGATATAAGCTTCCCATGGAATTACAGTTGCCGTCCATTTATAGTAAGAGGAGAGTTTATCAGCTCTGGTTAGATTACAACCTTGAAAGTTCCATTCTCTTTCAATTCCTTCTGTAGGCACAGTTAGAAATAGTGTTCTTTAAAAAATCCTTCTCAAAAGGCTAATACTGCATGATCTCACTTACAAGTGGAATCTAAAATAGTCAATCTCATAGAAGCAGAGAACAGAATGGTGGTGGCCCAGGGTGGAGGGTGGTGGTGAGGGGGAAATGGGAAGATGTTGGTCAAAGGGTATAAAGTTAAAAAATAATCTTTCTTTTTAAGTGTTAAATAATTTTCTTTCAACCTACTAAAATATTGTAGTTTTTTTTCCCAGGTTCAGTTATGTTTCATTGAGACAAGTTTATGCTATCTGACAAAAACCAAAATTAAAAAAATATCATAGAAAGCCAGCCCTGATGGCCTAGCAGTTAACGTTTGGCGTGCTCTGCTTTAGCAGCCTGGGTTTGGTTCCTGGGCGTGGAACCACACCACCCGTCTGTCAGTAGCCATGCTGTGGTGGTGGCTCACATAGAAGAACTAGAAGGACTTACAACTAGAATATACAACTATGTACTGGGGCTTTGGGGAGAAAAAAAAAGACAGATGTTAGCTCAGAGTGAATCTTTTCCAGCAAAAAAAATTATAGAAAAATAGAATGGTACTCTCCTTGGCAAATAATTCTCTCCTCTTTCAATTACTTATAACACAAAGTATTGATTTTAGAAAAGAATACCACAAGGATAGTTAACTATATTCTTCCTCCTATTCAGTTAAAACCTACTCCTTTTTTTTTATGTACCTGCTAGTTCAATATTTTTCAAGCTACACTTGCAACCTATTAGAAAATTATGAAATAAATTACTTTTTTAAAAAAGTGTAATAGAATAGGACTATTAGTATGAATCACATGCAGTAAGGGGCAGTCTTGTTTTGTGAGACTTCTATTTCTGTTTCATATACGTAAGTATGTATGAAGGTGTGTGTATACAGGGATTATGATGTAATAAATTTCTTACTTTGTGTCCCAACCAAGAGTTTGATAAACAGTGTATTAGACAGTTGGCACAACGCCTTGTTCTACTTAAATTATCATTATTTCTCAGGGATTTTACACAGCGGTCTCATTCATGGTAAACATACTTAGAATTTTCACAAGAATGGCAATGCTAAATAAATCCAAGTCCTCCTTCAGTACATCTCAGCATCCTGCAGTGGCAATGATTATTAATTGTATTTTTCCCCTTAGTCTTCTCAGTGGCGCAAACGTGAGCCAACCACTGCTTCACCATTACTGCCTTATTCTACAGATATTTATAAGGTGCCTCCAATGTGCCAGGTACTACCCTAGTTGATAGGGATGAATAAGACCCTGAAAGGGGCTCACTGAGTGGTATTCTTAAGAAGGACCTGTTTGCTGTTCTCATTGAGAAGAGAGGTGTGGTAACCACTTGGCCTTGCCCTCCTAGGTCTGTTTTTTATGGACAAATCTATAAAAACTAATAATGTCTGGTTGCAATAGAAAGCAAAAGTAAATGACTTCTACTTTGTAATAAATAGTTGGAGTAGAAAAAACACACACCAACTACTTTATAAAACCACTCATTTGGTAATAATTCATATATTACTTTTGCTAGCTCTAGTATTGTCATTTGAAGACTATGTGTATCTTCATTGTTTGTTTTCTCCTTATTTATCCTGGTTCCTAACCCACTCTCCATTACGTATATTGCCAAGAGTCCCTCCTCGTTTATCCCTGGCCTCCTGTAGATGGTAAGCTCCCTGCAGGCAGGGGCTCTACCCAATATCTCCTTTGTGCTTCGCACAATACCTAGAAGAGTAACTGACACACACCAAGCACCCAATAACCTTTGTTGATGGATAAGGAAAAAGTATGGAAGCTTTTACCTTGGAGGAACTGGTAGCCTGGGGCACAATGAGTCTGCATTTGGCTTCTGGGTGTAGTTGAAGGAATTCAAGCTATAAACACACAGGAAGGACCCTGGAAGCAGAAGACACACAGACTGTACCATCTTCCCATATTGTGCTCATCTTTTTAGAAGAGCCAGTAAGGACATCATAGTCATTTTACCAAACTGAGGAGACAGAATAAATCACTTGGATTTGGAAAACAGGCCTAGGGGTGACCTAAACACAAAAGAATAAGCATACCATCTGAGGCCAAGTTAGGTCCTCTCTTATTCTCCCTCCAAAACTCCAAATTCAAAACTAAAAGCTATATGATTGGTACTAAAATGATCTGAAGGTTATTTGAAGATGATTAATTGGATACGCTTGATATTTTTAACCCAGCCTTGCAAATAATTTTTAAAAATCTGGCACACCATCTCACAAGCAGATAAAATTTGCAGTAGGTTGCCTTGAATTTCTTTTCCTTTCCTTCAGTTGTTTAATCCTTATAACATAAATCTGAAAAGCAGGCTCAGAGCAAGGTGCTTCAGTTACACAAATGTTTGGTACCACTTATGACTATCCCACTGGTCTGGTCAGTGAAAGTATCCAACATTTTAATGAAAGAACATACTTGTCGGCAATTCAACCCGAAGCCTGCGGGCGCCTCTCTAGGACTGGATGGGCCCAGCGCAAAGCTCTCTGACCTCTGTCTGACCCTGCCTGTGGTCCCTAAATGTCTGTCATCTACTCTGTGCTCTCTATGGAAGACCATTCCCAGTGAGCAGAGAACAGCTAGGGTTTCAGATAAATTCCAGATAAACCAGAATGAAATTGAACAAGTTCAAGAGAAAATGTTTGTGGCCTTTTCCACACAAGAAGCAGCACCCACAAGGAAGGACGATTCCCACCTTTGCAGAGAAAGCAGTGTCAGGGTAAGTTCTCTGATGTAGGTCTGCACAGGTTACCCCACCGCAGCTCCCAGCCTCAGGGGGAAGAGCGAGCCCATCCCTCGGTGCCTACCACTGCTGTTTGCAAAGAGCTGAACCTCCTCCAGGGTATCAAGCTGCTTTTCAGGACAGCTGGATACGCAGAGGACAGTGGAACTGAGCCTCCCTTCGTTGGCTTCCAGGTTGCAGGAATTCAAAAAGAACACGTATCTAGGAGACGGACCAAACAGAAGAATGTCTTAGAGCATTTCCACTCCTTGGGTTTCACTATGGGCCTTAAAAAATACCCACATGCTATCAAACGTGGGGATAATTAAGGCAAACTTTTATCATCAAATGCTTCAGCATGATTTAATATGTATTACGCCTCCTGGGGTCATCTATGGAGTTATGCAGCTGAGGGACCATACTCAAATGTTAACAAAACTTTCCTTTTCCAGATTCAGCATTTTCTGGGAGATAACACCAGGGAGTTATCTGAGGAAGCCACTGAGGAAGGGAAGGGATTGAATAAACAGCCCATGGATTGCTATACCAGGCCAGCGCATAAACGGCTCAATAAAGTCCACAGAAAGCATTTTTGCATCCAAGAGCATTCAACTATACTTCAGAGACTAGCTGAACCTGGGGAAGTGAGAAGCGGAAAGGAGGGGGCCGAGGCTGTGAATTAAAGGTCTGCCCCTGCCCCACCTCCCAGAGCCAGAAAACTCATGAAACCCTTCCTGCTGCCCACTGGGTAGCTGGGGCACAAGGAGAAAACTGGCCGTTGCCATTAACAGGTCACGTGTGGGGCTGGCAGTGGCAGCTCCCTGACCCATGCCCAACACTTACCCAGGTTGCTGAAATCAGAGGAATGCCAGAGGAAAAGCCCTATAGAGGAAAAGTCCTCTAGGGAGGGACAAGGAGAAGGGGTCCCAGAAGCTTATTTTCCTTCCAACAGGGGATGGGAGAAAAGGGAATGGTGTGACAGGAGATGGGGGAAGAGATTTCTTGGGTGAATGAAAAATATATACTTTATTCTTTTTATCTAAAATTTAAAAAAATATGGTAAAATACACATAAAATTTCACCATCTTAACCATTTCGAGTGTACAGTTCAGTGGCATTAAGTACATTCATATTCTTGTGAAACCATTACCACCACCCATCCACAGAACTCTTTTCATCTTGCAAAACTGAAACTCTGTCCCCATTAAACTATAACTCGCTCCCCCCCGCCCCACCCCAGCCTCTGGCACCCACCATTCTACTTTCTGTCACTATGAATTCGACTACTCTAGGTACCTCATATAAAAGGAATCATAAAATATTTCTTTTTGTGACTGGCTTATTTCACTTAGCATAATATCCTCAAGATTCATCCATGTTGTAGCATGTATCAGAACTTCATTCCTTTTTAAGGCTGAATAATATTCCATTATATGTATACACATTTTGTTTATTCACCTGCTGATGGACACTTGGTTGCTTCTACCTTTTGGGTATTGAGAATAATAAAATAGATAATTTTTTATTTTAAAGAGGATGACTATTTCTCAGCCTTGCATTATGAATACAATGTGAAACAGGAACATGGGTGCATCTGGGCAGCCCCTTCCTCCTCTTGTCTTCTCTGTCAGTGACACCCACATGTGCAGAGGGAAATTCCCCTGGGGCAATCCATGTCCAGCAATGCCACGCCGCTCTCCTCAGGAGCAACACTCAAGGGTAGAAAAGGCCTGGTCTGAATTTGTATTTGTATTTGTATTTGGTGACTCCAAACCTATACTCAGGACCTATTTAGACCCTTAAGATTTCTCTCCTAGGAGCTGCTTTTGATTATCAAGTCTCAAAAGTTATTACAAGGCAGTCTCCATCATAGAAAATCATAGCCAGGGATTTCTCTCCCCTCAGGGGATTTCTGTCTCTTCTCTCCCCTTCCTGTTTCTGTGTTGAAGTCAAGGGTGGGGGGTGGGGGAACGCAACACTACAGTGCCAGAACTGAGAGTGTAGACTGAGGAGGAAGTGAGACAGTCCCCAGCACTCCCAGGGGTATTCATGTATTTCCTCACAGAAACAATACTGTGGATGGTGGACAGTTGGTAACATACAATTGGTAACACGATTTGACACATTATGAATAACAGTAACAACTAACATTTATTAAGCCTTAGCTCGTGCAGTGTCTCAGCGGATCATTAAAACAACCTCGTGAGGTGGATGCAATAACCAGTTTAAAAAGTTGAAAACTTGGCTCATAGAGGTTCAAGTACGCTGCCCAAGGTCACACTGCTGAAAAGCAGCAGAGGCTGAACTGGAACTTAGGACTGGCTGATTCTAAAACCTGTGTCCTTACTACCACACATACGCCTCCCTTTTTACGAGATGGGCTGATGGAGTTTTTTTTTTTTTTTTTTGTGAGGAAGATCAGTCCTGAGCTAACATCCATGTTAATCCTCCTCTTTTTGCTGAGGAAGACCAGCCCTGAGCTAACATCTACTGCCAGTCCTCCTCCTTTTTTTTTCCCTTTTCCTCCCCAAAGCCCCAGTAGATAGTTGTATGTCATAGTTGCACATCCTTCTAGTTGCTGTATGTGGGACGCCGCCTCAGCATGGCCGGAGAAGCGGTGCGTCAGTGCGCGCCTGGGATCCAAACCCAGGCCACCAGTAGCGGAGTGTGGGCACTTAATTGCTGTGCCACGGGGCCGGCCCCTGCTGATGGAGTTTTGAATAGGAAAACAGTTGCCAGGCTCAAAACGACTAATTTATACAAAGTTTTGAAATACAGCCCCTCTTAACAGGTTGGGGACTTACTTGAACACTTACTTTTTTAGGGTCATGTCCTGCCCTGAGAGAGGGGCTCCTTCTACTGGGGAGTTCTTCTTGCCACACACGTTGCCAAAGCTGTCGTAGCCGAAGAGGAGTCTTCCCGTGGCTCCCGCCGCCACCGAGTAGCCCATGATGAACATCTGCCAAAACCCAGGCGGCACATGAGAGCCTGGCCAATGGGCTGAAAACACGGTCCCCACATCCCTGAAGATGCTGATGTAAAATGGAACCAGGTGAAAATGAACCTCCCCAGCATCACTGCACCGCTCTCCTTTGGCAACAACATCAACAACTCAAATCAGCTAGGAAGCTGCTCCTATAATACTTGTGTTAACAGGTTAGGTAGGGAGAACATTCTAAAACGCTGATACAGATTGCTCTCCGTTTTCTCCCCTCTTTGTGCTTCTCACTCTCTTCTCCTAGAGTCTGTCATTTTTGCTTCTTGGCCTAACTTCACCAGGACAACTCAATCTTTTCCCCTTGACATTCCTGGTTTATCTAAGTGCCCCAGGGCTGTACTTCTTTCTCTAAGTTTCCATCCCTTCTTCCTTCTCCCTCTCCCTTTTTCTTTTTTTCTTATATTTAGGGGACTCTGATCTTCAGGGGTAAATGCAACATAGGTGATATGTACCAAATACTGCTCATAACAAGTGTGAAAACGGTGTTTTGGAATAAGGTTTAAAATATACAAAATAAAGAATCTCAGGAATTCTGCTGGACAGGAACATCTTGCAATCTATAATCATGTTTATCCAATTTCATAGTGAATGTGGAATATTTGAAATTTCTGCTCAGACGACTGTTCCATTAATATGCATTGACACGCCTTTTACCAACACTGAGTATGTATCTTCCCATTACACAAACCCAGTGTTGTAAGTTTCCCAATACACAATGCAGAGAACACCATTTAATACTTGGTACCGACAGGCTCATTCCAGGAGAGGGGATATGGTACAATAATTCAGTGAAATACAGTATTGATACCATATGTTCCAAAGGTACATTGTCCCAAAGTGAAATATGTTTCAGACATTCTGCATTCCCTACTAATTTAGAAATCAAAATAACAGTCTTCAAGTGCAGGGACTGTTACTGGAGGACATAAAGATGAACAAAACCAAGTCCCTGCCCTCAAGGAACTAAGACAGGCAGGGCTCAGGGCTTGGGAACTGCAGACCTCCTGGGAAGGGGGCTCCCTGCCCCTCCCATGCCCCCAGCACCTCCTCAGTGTCACGGTCAGACTCCAGGACCCAGGATGAGTGGGTCACCTTTGCTGGCAGACAAGTCACTCCCCCCTTACTTATAGGCTGTAGGTGCGGGTTTGACTATGCGCCCACGTGGCTGGCACAGTAGGCTGACTGGGCGGCACGTTGCTCCTCCCCTGCCCTTCCAACTTGGCGTGTGCTAAGATCCTGATTGGGTCTGGACTTAGAGGAGGAAAGGGGTCCTGCACTTCTGCCCAGTTCACCAGAGATCTAATAAGGAATCAATATTTTCCATTTATTAGCATCCTTTATGTTAATATCTCCCTTGGAAGGTTGTGGGAAGAAGTGGGAGGTTTTTTCTTGGCGGGGGTGGCATTTGGGTAATCCTGAGTCTCTGCCATACCATTACTACTTTAAACCATCAAAACTTTGTTCTAATTTCAAACAGACAATTGCAATTCCATATGATAGGTGATAATAGTTGGTGTGTATACCAGGTATGGTGGGGCTACCAAGGTCATGGTCAGCTGTGCTGGGGGAGATCCTGACAATGGAGTCTTGAAAGACGAGTAGGAGAGGGCAAGATGGGAGAGGACACTGGAGAGGTAAGTAGAGGCAGAGATGGTCGAGACTTTGAGACATTCTATGTGTCTTACGCAAATATAAACAAAGGCTGGCAGTCTTTCTACTTGCAACAGACTGTCCCTGCTTGTGATTCTGGCCCCTCACCCCAAACCTCCTTTGTCCAACCCTAACATGGGGCAGCCCCACCAATCATCCCGTCCAGCACGTGTTTTGTCACCAGTCAGTTCACAAGACAGGAAGCCGAACAACAGAGACAGAAAAAACACTCCTCACCCTGTTTTAAATATCTGTGGTTAAAAAATGTTGCAGAACATACTGAAAGCCAGTCAGCTAAGGAAGGACTCTCATTATTCAAATTTAACATAGTAAAGAGAATGCGGGCATATTGAAGCCTTCAGATTGATTTTGCAAATGACATGTAATTTTAAAGCAGTTTCCAGCCCTGTGCCACCTCTCAGATGGTTCATAATTCTTCAGGCTGTGATGGGCCATCCACATATCCGTTCCCCAGACAGCCGCTGTGCTGCGAGTCTGGTAGTGATGAGGGACTACAGAAGATCATCAAATAACATTAACAGCCCGAGGTCAAAGCAGCCAGGCGCAGGCAGGACAGCTGCTCCCTGCATTTACACAATAGCAGACCCGGCTAGAAACATCAGCATCTATGGGAAGTCAGGGAGGAGGTGCAGTTTCTCTCAGCTTCTAGAGGAGAGCTCCAAGGGCTGTGATTTAGGCAACCCAGAACATTCGGTCATGTCTTTAAGGCCCAACCTTCCTCTGTGCCTGTAACCAGTTGGTAAAATCAACAAGTGAATAAATACCTTTCTTATTTGGAAAGAGAAACAAACATGGTATTTTAGAGTCATTCAAACTGAATTCTTTTCAACAAAGGTAATTACTATCTGGTAGCTATTATCAAGCTTTATAAATTAATCATTTACCCTGCCGCAAACAGCACGCCCCAGTCTGGAACGATGATTCCATGAACACGCTCTTTGAAGCAGTTGAGTGAGCCTTTTTCTGTTGTTACCCACAACTCTAAAATAAGTATCAGAGCACCAACATTCAGCTTCCAAGAGAGTCTCCCAGGACTGAAATGGCACAGCCTGATGAGGTGTACCGGCAACCATACACACCTAGAAACTAGAGTGGGGGAAAAATTATCTAACTTGCGGGTTTAAATCAAAGGCGGGTTTCCCTGTTAGCTGCTAAACGCAAGATACCAAGAGTGTGTGTGTTATGCTCAGCTAAAGTAAGAGTAATTAATTTCTAGGCTCACCCTGGATTTTCCCATGTTAGAAGAACAGCAAACACTTGAGGAATATTTTATTTTGGGGGCTGAGATAGTAAAAGAACTTTCAAGCCGTGAGCTCGGATAATGAGACCACACACTGGCTTATTCAATAACAAGGCCATTGCAAGCCGTGAGTCTCATTTCCTAATGGAGTCTTCCATGACAACGTGGCCTGTGGCAATAAGAGAGCCTCTCTGATTTAGCGAGTCTAGGAGGTTTAGAGATACCTGACAAGAATTCTCCAGGACTTATGTTTACTCTGCCGTAAGGGCAGATGTTTCTCTTTACAGCACAAACTTTAACCTGGTACCTCCCGGAGCCCTGGGCTTCCACGGGGAAGGCACTAGGAATGCGACTTACATTTGGGCACAGTTATTTCGGGACACACACACTCTGGTCTTTTCCCTGCCAAGCACCCACACTTACCAAACCAGTCCAAAAGAGAAAGAACAGGGATAACCATATCGTGTCTGTGCATTTCCTATAAATCTGAGGTCGCCACTCTCTTTCCCTGGGGGTTCTCTCTTCAGAAACCTTCCAGAAAAAGAAGGGAGAGAGTTGAGAAAAAGAGGATAAATAACCATATGGGTTCCCACCCGGAAACTGAACCCAAACTTACTCGAAAACTGCTTTTTTTTTTTTTTTAACGTGGCGGCCTGAAGCTTTCCTGGGAGCCTGTGAAACACCTGCTCTTGCGGAGCGGCTGCGAATCTCCAGTCGCCAAGCCCTTCCCTGAAGGTGCACCCGGAGGCGGCCCCACGTTCGTGCCCCGCCGCCAGCCTCTCCCTCGCCCCCGGCCCCGCACTTGAGTGGGGTCCGGGGTCCTCCTCGCCAGGTGTCCCCAGGACACAGCAGCGCCGGGGCGGGGGTTTATCCCCGAGGACTGGGGGAGGCGGAAGCGTCCCGGCAGGGCA